TTTAGCATAGTACCCTACTAGTCTGACTAAGTAGACTACTAGGGTACTATGCTAAAAGTGCATTTCAATTGTTGACTAACAAGTGCCTTTTAGCTCAACTTTTTTCAGCAGTCTCGGGAAAATATGAACGAGGTATCATTCGATTCGGAATGACATGTAAGTAGATGATTTTTTACAAAAACAAGTTCTTCTAGCAAGAATTGCCAAAGTTATAAACAATTAACTAAAAATAAAAAGGGGGCTAGTTTTTTGCAAATATTTCAAAAACAAATTGAGATTTTACAAATCTAAAAAGCGGAGATTCAAAAAGAGGAGGAAATATCCTAAAAAAAGTCTCAACTCCCGGAATTGTAGGACTAAGATTTATAAGTTTCTCAGATCGATGAAAGAAAGTAAGGATTAAAACGGGCACTGTGGTTTGCGCAAGTCACGTCTACTTCGGACACTATCAATAAAAATATTTTAACATATTTATATATATAAAAGGTAAAAGTGATTGACTGATGCATGAACGAATTAGCCACAATTCGTTCATGGACTGATGTATCAACGCACAGGCCAAAACCTTAAGGCTAGAAAATTGAAATTTCGCACACGTATTCCTCATATGATGAAGGCATCCACTAAGGAAGGATTTTTCAAAATTCAACCCCCAAGGGCGTGAAATAAGGGATAAAAGTGTGTGCGAAACTTTTTATTCCTTGGACATATTTGCATGAAATTTCGTATGAATACGGCAAAAATAATGAGTTACGTATTTCAGCGTTTTCTATAATTCAACCCCTAAGAGGGTAAAATAGGGGATGATAACATAAGCCAGAGTTTTTTTTAGTTGATTGAAGGGGGGCGTAGCCGCGGGTTCTGCTAGTATTAAATATCAAATTTAAGAAATGAAAAAAATCTGGGGATTACTTTTTCATTACAGATTTTCAATTAGTTATGCAATATTTAATATTATTTAAATATTGCATAACTAATTCTGCTTCAACATGAACAAGTGTCAAATTTGTCAAACTATAAATTTGAGTTTTTTTTCCTTTCTTGGAACTTTGAGTTTACAAAGCATAAATTCGCCTCTTCTTATATAATGCCAATCAAAAATCCCAGCCTGCATCGAGCTCACTTAAGTTGTCCTCGTGACATAAAAAGCTTAAGTTACGTTAGTAACTTAGGTTAAGTTAGTAGTTCTTCACAGATAAGAGCCGGTAGTGGAAGATGCACCCTCGCTTCGCTCAAGTTCGTCCCTTGGCATGTCTTAACAGTTAGTATAGATTTCTCAGAGATATTTTCCCGCAGTAAAAAGTATCTCAAATTTTGATCTGGATAACAATCTATCATCATACCAAATTTCATCAAAATCTATCCAGTGGTTTTCTCGTGATGCTTTCCCAGAGAGAAAGACAAAAATTTAAAAAACTATGGATTCGGCCTCCGTATCGATAATAATGACAATTTCAGTAAGATTTTCCAAAAAATATTTAATGTACAGATTCGACTTAGTTAGAATTTTATTATATGTAAGTATAGACTATAGATATAAAGTCTATAGAAATTATTTGACGATATACTTACTACTTTGTGACAACTATTCTCCATCAAAACATTTCATAGGGTAGAGTGTAAATCTTAAACTTAAGGATAAAATTTATCGTTCAAATTGGAAATAATAGCAACATAAGTACCTACATACTACGAGTTGTATAGCTTTCAGGTAAATAGAAGGTAACCTTTAATGTTTTTTATTTTATATTTATATTCTATTTTATACTTATTTTACAAATAGATATTTGTTTTTAAGAATTAAATGCTTGTTGGAGGAACTGTCGCCAAACGTTTAAACTGGTTTCGTTTATCAATCATTGTTGCCGATTTGCGCATCGCGAGATCCGGTTTATGACGTGACCGCTGCGCCACGCGCGGTCTACAGATGTGTCAACTCGAGTTGAATTCTCTCTGACTCGAATTGGATTTGCGTGGTAAATGAACGGATCAAGCGAATACGTGATTGACCTTACGCAAACGCGGCGATTCGTTCGTTGTGTTCATGTTTTGTACAGTCACGGTAATGTAATGAATACAGTTTTCCAACTCGGCCCTGTCCTTGAAATAATTACCTATAGCCGAGCGGCACGTACCCACGGGACAGGGCTACCCGCCGGCCAGTATTTTAATTTCATCTACCTACTTGAGTTTCTTTCTAATTATGTGATTTCAAATACATATTATATTTTTTGTTTAAAAACTATTATTAGTAGATTTAATTAAAAAATCTCAAATTTATAAGGGTGGTAGGTATGTGACCCTTATAAATTTGAGATTTAAAAATATTTGCGCCTCGACTGAGACATACGAAAAGCTTTATTGTTAAATTTAATAGTATAAAGAATCCGCATTCGGATAAAAAGTTTAATTAAAAATACTTAAATTTTTATTTTTAATTTAATTAATTTTTATTTTTAAAACCAACGATGTCTCGATACTTTTTTGTTTGACATTAGCGAAGTTACGGGAGGAATAAAATGTTTATTTTTGTATGAAATTATAAAAGTTACATAACATAACCACCTTATACAATTTTCGTATTCAATTATACGATCTGGCAGCCCCGCACGGTTGTCTACCGAGTGTATACCGAACGCGACGCGCGTAGGTATAACTCGATTTCCGACCGTTTGTATAAAGATGGAATACTGTATGTAACATTACCGTGGTACAGTCGTCAGCATTTAAGACTACACATTTATGTTGCAAAATCGCTCCTATTACAACCGAATAAGATGCCACAGTATTTAACTTAATCGCTGTCGTCCGTACTCTCGTCATAGCGTTTCAACAGAATGACAGCGTTATCATATCCATACTAATATTATAAATGTGAAAGAGTACGTTTGTTTGTTTGTACTTCTTTCACGTCGAAACGGAGTAACGGACTGGGGTAATTTCTTGGGTGAAGATAGTTCATAGTTGGAGGGCTGGAGAGTGGTATAGACTACTTTTTACCGCGGAAGATTATCTCATTTCCACGGGGAAACACGTTATAATACAACCCAAAAAAATATTTATGATCAGAATTACTTAAAACTTGATATTAACACTCTTCAATACAATTAAATAAATATATGTTTTAGCATTCTTCGAAATTTATCTCGTAAGGGGGTAAAATAGCGGATAAAATTTCGTATGAAACCTACCTTTTTAGAGTGTTTTTTTGCAGTTTTAGCGCGAGCGAAGCCGCGGGTTCTGCTAGTAATAATATAAATAAATAAATATAAAAAATATAAATAATTATAATTGTCCCAATAAATATTTATTTAGAATCTGTACCATTTTTTAATATTGTTGCGAAGCCGAGTCATTAAATTGGTACAAACAAAACAAATCATTCACTTCATTTTTCATCCAGTTAATTCGAGTTACGTAACTCGAGTTGAACTCGAGTTACGTGAATTTCAACTCGAATTAACTCGAGTTATATTTTTTCCGAGTTGGCACCTCACTAGCGCGGTCACTCACTCTTTGCGTGGAGGGAACACTTCTTCCAATACTGTCTTTCCAAAACATAGCGCAATGATGAAATAGCATTCATTGACCACAGAGTACATTCGTATATACTAATTGACTTGCCTGAACACTCGATATTTTTGGGAGTTGGATGATCGATTCTACCTAGTCTTGCTTAGAACAAACAAAGAAAAAAAAACATTTTTTTCTATTGCACGTAACATTTATTACTATTACAGTGTGTTAGTTTAATACATTAATATAAGATCAATAAAAATATATAAAGCTTATTCGAAATCTCCATTGGCTGCAATACAGTCCTTTAAACGTTGAGGCCAGTTATCAATAGTCTTTAATGTACAAAGATTTCGCCATGGAACATACTCTCCTAAACATTTTTGAGTAGGCACTTACAAAAGAAGCAAACGATGTACTATGATTAAGAGCTTTTTCACCATACAGTTCATACAGTCTTTGCCTGCTCTTGTAGATGCCAGGAGTTGCCCATTCATTAAATGACAAGAGACCCCCTGAATTGACTGTTTAGAAGTAAATATTGTAGCAAATTCTGTTTTTATTAATTTAAATAAAGAATTATATAAGAAGTTGGGGTCATTACTGTAGGATAAATAAGGAAGTTTTGCTACTATAACGGAATAGGTATAAATAAGTGTTTAATCGAACGAAATGTACAACATAATTATTCAACAATAATTAAAATTATATGCAAATGTAAATACCATAATCGAAATATATCAACGCGCAAATCTGCGCAAAGAGCGTTCGGTAGTCGTCGGGAACAGTTACCTGACTACTTAAACAACAAAAGGGAACATCATAGGGATATTATAAATCCGTATCAATATTAGATTTTAATGATTAGAATGACTTTTCATGGGTCTATTTGACATCTTTTTCCTTGTACGATGATGACGCGGCACTGCGCGTGCGGTGGACGGCGGCCCGCGGGCGCCGCGCGTTCACTAGGAAGTAGGAACGTATTATTCTCGTAAGTGGTGGTTGCTAGTTTCCAATTCCATATCCTTTAACAGGTTATACTATATTTCATTTGAAAAATAATATTGCTGAAAGATGCGCAGGGTTTATTGTAGTTATGTCAGAGTGGAATATTCGTGGATGGTTTTTTTTAAATATTTACTTACGTTTCACACTTTAAGTATTTACTTATAATTTATTTTTGTAAGTGTCTAGTCGCCAATTGGTGGCTAGATAATATTTTATCATGTTAATTGTGTCTTTGACTTATTTGTTGTTTTGTGTTAATTGATTTCAACATTATTCTTATAATAAGACAAATATCTAAATACTCGTTAGAAACGGACGCCACCTTTTCGATATATTCACATGCAGTGTTTTATAGGTAGGATGTATGTAATACAAAGAGTATACATATTAAAAATTGTTTTTACTTTATTTCTAAGCAGTATATTCTATTATAAATTGTAGAGTTTATACAGAATACCAAAAGCTGGTATTCAGCCGCGTTCAGTGTCGGGCGCGCCGTCGTCGGTGAAGTCCAGCAGCAGTTTGCCGCGGCCGCCGCCCGCCGCCGCGCGCGCGTACGCCTCCGCGCCGCGCCGCCACGCGTACGCGCGTTCCACCGCCACCGTGAACTGTGCACATCACAACACCGCACACTTCGCGTATAGCAGGTACTTTACTTTTACATGTTTACCGAACGAGTAAATAACAATATAGCAAGTTTACCTTCCCTTGGTCGGCGAGCCGGCGCAGCATCTCGATGTCGGCCGCGCACGGCACGAAGTACGCCCAGCGCACGTGCGGCGGCGGGCAGGCGGCGGCGGGCGCGGCGCGCGCGGCGCCCGCGCACTGCCGCGCGAGCGCCGCCGCCGCCGCCAGCGCGCCCGCCGCGGCGCCGCGCGCGTCCGCCTCGCGCAGCAGCGGCGAGCTCAGCGTCACGTAGCGCGCGAACCGCCAGCGCCGCGCGCCCGCCGCCTCGCCGCCCAGCCCCGCGCAGTCCACGATCACCTCGTACCTGCACAGTGCACGCGCGCACGATGTACACCGCACTCGCTACCGTTCCGTACCGGAGGGCGATAGGGCGATACGGAAGGACGAGTCATGAGACAGAGACACGAAACTTACGGGCCGGCCTCCTCGAGGAGACGGTCGTAGTCGGGCGAGTGTCGGTCCAGCGCCGCCACTGCACCTAGCGACGTCGCCGTCTGGCACAGATCCCCCGAACAACCCACGACAACCTAAAAATAAATTTGTTAAAAATATAAAATTTGAGTGAACGAGGAGAACCGTGTATTAGCGGTAAGCGAATAGTGTATAGCGTGTAGCATGCACCTGCGCGCCGCGGTGCACGAGCAGCTGCAGCGCGGCGTGCCCGACGCCGCCCAGCCCCAGCAGCAGCACGCGCGCGCCGCGCCAGCGCCCGCCCGGCGCCGCCACGCGCAGCGCCGCGCACGCCGACAGCGCCGCGTACAGCGCGCCGCCCGCCTGATACGTGCTCAGCGCGCTCGGCGCCGGACCCAACTGATGGAAATGCGATCAAATCATAATTATTTTCCTAAGAAGATACTATTAGGTTTCATCCTTTTAAGTTAGTTTGAGTATATTAAATGATTTGTATCGAAGTGTTTGCTAGGTGTTCTGCAGTAACTAAGGTGAGTTAAGTAATGGTAGATCACCCAGCGGTCCTTGACGAGCACGTACTGCGCGTGCGCGCCGGCGCGCTGCGGCGGCACCACACCCCACACGCGCGCGCCGCGCCGCAGCCGCGCGCCCGCGCCCGCCAGCGCCACCTCACCCGCGAAGTCGCGCCCCACAACCAGAGGGAACTCCACGTCGGACCCTTCCAGCTTGCGCAGTATGTTTAGAATTGTGGCTCCATACCCACCTGTGCAGAGAAGCATTGCTATTGGATTTTATAAGACACTCGACGTGGCACCTAGCAATAGAAAGAGTTCAATTGTATCTATACAATATACATATTATGTGATATGATAAATAAATAGGCAATTTTCTTTTTTTTAGAGGCTATTAACACGTTTTCATGTTATTAATAAAAAACAATTTTTGGACACATTTAGTTTTTTTTGTATATAGATGTAAAGATAGTATAGGAGAGTATACTACTTTAATCTATATTATAAAAGGCAAAAGTAATTGACTGATGTATCAACACACAGACCAAACCCTTAAGGCTAGAAAATTGAAATTTCGCACACGTATTCCTCATATGACGAAGGCATCCAAAGGAAATCCAAAATTCATCTAAGGAAGGATTATTCAAAATTCAACCCCCAAGAGGGTGAAATAGGGGATAAAAGTTTGTATGAAACTTTTTATTCCTTGGACATATTTGCATGAAATTTCGTATGAATTGAGTACGGCAAAAATAATGAGTTACGTATTTCAACGTTTTCTAAAATTCAACACCTAAGAGGGTAAAATAGGGGTTGAAAGTTTTTATGAAACCCACTTTTTAGAGTTTTTTTGTAGTTTTAGGGCGAGCGAAGCCACGGGTTTTGCTAGTTTTATATATTATCAACCAACTTCCTCAAAAAGGAGGAGGTTCTCAATTCGGCTGAATTTTTTTTTATTTATGTTTGTTACCTCAGAACTCCGTCATTTATTAATTGATTTGGACAATTTTTGTTTTGTTTGAAAGTGTATACTTCCATATGGTTCCCATTTAAATTTCAAAAAAAAAAACCACCCCTAAGGGTGGAAAAATAGCTAATGATGAATGTAACCTACTTCTATTTGTCATATTGACTTGAAACTTTGCAAGTGATTCTATTTCCGTTGATAGTACAGTGGTTTGGTATTGTTGACCTGATATGATGGTAAGGCCAGAAGGTGGATAGGTGGAACTCTTCAACGGCTAATAGTAGATATTTTGAGTTTGGGCTTTTTTTGTTTGATTTGACAAGCCTAACACGTTAGAATTCTTACTTTGCTACTAATGTCTACACTAAAAAGGAAAAAAATAAAAACTTTTTAACAAAAAAATAAAAACCGACTTCAAACAAAAGCACTAAAAAGTAAAAAATAACTGATTGGTAGTTTTCACTTACTATACATACTTAATCAAATAATTTCGAAGTCTGTGCCAGCCGATACAAAGCAAAGCACATCTTTTTTGTTAAAAGGTTTTTATTTTATGATCCAAATAGGTTATATTTATTTAGTATTTTAGTTTAATTGTAATGACAAGTTAATAATATATTTTAAAAGTAAATCAATAAACTTATTTATATTGGATAATAACGATATATGAAAGTGTATAAGAAAAATCATATTATATAGATAAGTAAAATCTATCCATATAGATTTTCAATTTTATAGTCAAACTTCGATGACTGGGTAACATTAGTATAATACATTTTATGTTTATGTATATTTATTATTAAGTGTGAAAATAGTTGTACAATTAACTTAAAAAAATAAGTTTAATGTCTAGTGTTAAATTTTTTACTAACTTACCAATCATAGCGACATCCAGAGGATTAAGCGAGGTGGCGTGCACGCGCACGAGCACGTCGTCAGGCGCGCGTAGCGCCGGCACGCGCGCGCTCTCCAGGCGCAGCTCGCCCGCGCCGTACGCGTGCACGCGCCAGGCCTGCATACGTCCCGCCGCCGCGCCGCGCGACCACCCACACATCTTACTGGTTTTATCACATATATCATTTAATTCTTTCTTAGATTTACGATTGAAATTTAAAATAAAACTCTTTTCGATTTTTTTCTTAGATTTACTTTAATTTTTGGTTCGAATACATCATGATCACGGGAGAGACTAAAGCTTTAGATGTCTCAAAGTTTATTATACATAGCCATAAATACTGTAACAATTAAAAATAAACCAAATATTACATTTGAATTTGGAATCTGTCATTTTTTTATGATTGTTCATTGTGTTTTTCTCATTTTCGCGCCAATATATTGTAAAATATTTTGTGATATTAAAATGGGGTGGGGTGATAAAGAGAACTGAATCCCTGTGATTGCATTACGCAAAGTAGGTATGGAGCCAAATACAATTTTTAAAACTCTCCATACGCTTGGTATTAGTCAAATGTTTGTGTACCGGGCTATTGATAGGTACAATGAAACCTCCTCTGTTTGTGACAGAAAAAGGTCTGGCCGTCCACCTAGTGTTCGTATGAAAAAGGCGATCAAAGTAGTAAGGTATGGAATTCGAAGAAATCCTGTTCGAAAACAAAAGATTTTATCTCGGGAGATGAAGATAGCACCTAGGACCATGCCGCGTATTTTAAAAGATGACTTAGTACTTGCAGCCTATAATAGACGTACTGGTCATTTCTTAACTGATAATTTAAAAGAGAATAGGGTGGTAAAATCAAAACAACTACTTAAGTGGTACGCAAAGGGACGTCACAGAAAAATTTTGTATACGGATGAGATTTTTTTTACAATTGAGCAATATTTTAACAAAAAAAATGATGACTGTTTTTATGCTCAAAGCTCTAAGGAAGCTTCCCAATTAGTCACAGAGTACAACGTGGGCATTATCCGACTTCAGCGATGGTTTGGTGGGGTGTTAACTATGAAGGAGTGACTGAGCCATATTTTTATGAAAAAGGTATCAAAACATCGGCACAAGTGTATCAAGATACCATTCTTGAGAAGGTAGCTACGCCCCTTAACAACACCATGTTTAATAACCAAGAATGGTCCTTTCAGCAAGACTCGGTTCCGGTCATAAAGCTCGATCCCCGCAATCTTGGTTAGAAACCCACGTTCCGGCTGAAGACTGGCCGTCATCTAGTCCCGATATTAATCCGCTGGATTATGATTTATGGTCAGTTCTAGAGATTTATACGTCTTTATATATTTTTAATGGTTTTATATTAATGTATTAAACTAACACACTGTAATAGTAATAAATGTTATGTGCAATAGAAAAAATGTTTTTTTCTTTGTTTAAAATGTTTAGGGCAAGACTATGTATAGGTGTTATAGACAGTACCTACAAATATATTTTATTATGGCCATCCCACACAAGGACAGCGTGGTAGACTATGGCCCCCTCGTAATGAAGGGAGGCCTGTGCCCAGCAGTGGGACCTTAAATACATGTTAATTATTGACAGAATTAACAGAATCCCACAACAATAGTAGTATGCAGCCATCTTGCCTATTGAAATTTTGATCTTTTAAAATTTCAACAGCTTGAAACATTCTAGGGTGATAACAATGCTCTTTTGCAAGGATTTGTGGTTTATTGAATTTAATATAGTGGCTTGGGCAATCCTGACTTTGTTGACAGACTGCAGACTTAGAATCCCAAGAGTGCTTTACATCAGCATGTGGTTTTTGACCCCAGTTCAAATGAGTTTCTTTGTTTGTCTGATATAAGAGTCCACAATCACAATCAAGCTTATAGACTCCTGCATCTTGTAGAAGGATGTGTTATTACATCTTTAGCAAAATTAAGAACTATCATGTTATTTTATTTACTTAATTTTTAACAAAAGTCACATTTCAATATTAGAAATAGTTATAGTTAAACATAATGTTATAGTGGAATAATATGATGAATATGATAATATCTGTGTTTTACTTTAAACTCTGCACTGGACCTGAACTTTAAATCATTTTCAAAGAAATTTGGTACACAGATAGAAAAAAATCTAAAAAAAGAATCTTTTTACTTAAACGACAATTGTACTAATTATATAGCTTTTAAGAAATATATCTTATAACCTTTTTGTATTTAAGTTAATAAAGATACTCATATATTATTATTATCTATATAAATAAAAATGAAATGTTAATACACGCATAACTTCCAGTCGACTGCACCAAATTGAATAATTCTTTTTTTTTGTGATTGTTATTGTCAGAAAAGGCTTCTTAAAGAATAAAAATAAAAGAAAAAAGTTTTTTTTTTATAATATAAGGTTTTTTTAAATGTTTATGAAAAATGAGTGAGGGGAAATAGTTTTTATACCAGAAATCACCCATTAAGGAGGGTGAGAATGGCAAATGAAAGTTTCTTTGGGGAAGCAAGATAGGGATGAACCCGAGTGAAGTGAGGGTGAGTCACTAGTATTAAAAAAAGTGATTTCGGCCACGGGCCACGGCAGCTAATCTTATTGATAATAATCATCTGTGCAGGAAGTATAATAGTACTCAAGTGTATCAAATTAGTGTTGTAAGAACCAATTTTTTTGTACATAGCAATGCTTCACGATGTATTTTAATTAGTCTGATTTCTAATATAAAATATTTTATAAATCCTGGTCAGTTATTTTATGGACAATATTAATTTAACATAAAAATAAAATTATACAAATAGTAAAAAAAATTAAGGAACATTTTACATAAACGTAAGAGTATATTGAGCTACGATTTAAATTTTGATTTTCTTACCTTAATAATAATGAAATATATGGTTTAATAATTCAGATTTCAGACTAAATCTAAACAATTTTTAATTATTTGTGCTTGTTGATTGTGTGACAAATTATTGACATTGACGTTTATAATTTTGATGTTACACAGCTGAGGCCTGAGTCGTTTAGTAACGTAGAACTAGAAGATTAATTCGTTTATTAATTAATTTCTTAACTGTAATTATTTTCTTTATAGCTTCGTACATTTTGAACAAAACTAGACTTTTACTGAATATAAGTACTAAATTTTATTGCAAAGGTACTTACTTTATTATGAAGATTTATAACCTGATTTACACTATTTGACCACCACGGGTGGCCAATTTATTTTAATTATATCAAGTAACATGGTAATTTTTTTTCTATAATGGCTTATTAATAGTTATCATGACAAATGATAATAATTTATTAACACAAGTCATTTTCGTTTTAGTCAATCTATTCTGTCAAAACTAAATGTCAAAGTAGTTTTATTCTTTTATCTTTAACTTTGATGATTGATCAATAAATGAGTAATAGAGATCGTTTATTTTATTTTGAATGAATAGAAGTAAAAGTATGAAAAGAATGGACATCATAAGGAAATGTTTTATATATAATAAACCACGACTAAAGAGTTCCTACCGTAGCTTATCTTCAAGTATTTGTAGATTTAAAGTGGGTACATTAGATAGGTTATGTACAATACAATAAGAGATATGATTGATTGTGCAATTCAAATTATTATTAACTTTTAGGAAACTGACATAAGCAAAACTGAAAATAAAAAATCCCAAGAAAATGAAGGGTGGCCCAAAAGAGTTGTGACAGGATTGCAACCTACAGGCACTCTTCACGTAGGGAATTATTTTGCTGCTGTGCAACGCTGTGTTAAACTCCAAAATGAAGGCGACGACCTTATGGTCTTTATTGCCGATCTTCATGCTCACACAACACCTCAAGTATGATTCTGCCTTTATCTATTATTTACATAGGTATATGGAAATAATTTTATTAATATACGTTTTTACTAGGATCCGGCACAGATTCAGGAAAATACACTTGACCTAGTTGCATATTTATTGGCAAGTGGTTTAGATCCAGAAAAAAGTGTACTTTTTATACAGTCTGCTGTACCAAGGCATGCAGAATTGTGCTGGCTGCTTGCCTGCTTGGCAACACATGCTCGCCTTGCCCATTTGCCTCAATATAAAGAAAAGTCTGCTACAATGAAAGAAGTTCCTGTTGGCTTATTGCTTTATCCTGTACTTCAGGTATTTATTATTTATGATTCATAACTTAGTTTTTTTTTGTAATTGAGCACAAAACTCCCATAATATGCAAGTCAGAAATGTTTCTCTGGCATCATTTATGGCTATATTATCCCATGACAATTATCACAATATCTTGTTGATAATCACAGATACGCAGGTGTGTCAATAACAATTAATTTCCCAGAAATTTTTATAGACGCAATATGTAATACTAGTGACTCACCCTCGCTTCGCTCAGGTTCATCCTTAGGATTCCCGACGTGAAGAGCGCCTGTAGGTTGCAAGGATTCCCCATACAAATTTCATCCCCATTATCACTCCCTTAGGGGGAAGTTGGAAAGACGAACACCACACACAGCACAAGCTCACGCACATTGGGCAATAATTCTCAATTGCAGAAAACGCCGTGCAGAAGAAGACCCCCTTAAGGGGTGATTTCCAGGATAAAAAGTATCCTATGCCATTCATAGTCTCAAACTATCTTACTAAATTTCATCTGAATCGGTTCAGTGGATTCAGCTCACAAACTTTACGTTTTAATAATATTAGTATAGATTTGACTATGTGTGTTGTAAATGTAAAAAAAAAACTATATTTAAAAAAATATTGTGCTTAGCATACAAACATATAAATGTTTCAGGCAGCAGATGTGTTAGTGTATCGTGGGACTCATGTACCAGTGGGTGCAGATCAGTTGCAACATCTGCAAGTAGCTTCACAGCTAGTGCGAACCTTCCACCATAGATTTGGCCGCCTCTTTCCCACACCAAGACCAATTTTACCAGGTAAACAAAAGAGTGTAGAATGTAAGATTCATCTTCTTTATTATAAAAATGAATCGCTGAATGTAATCGCGGAATGTAAGCGCAAATATCGAGAGCAGCTGAACCGATTTTGCTAATTCTTTTTTTTAGAATATTCCTTGAAGTACGGGATGGTTCTTACGGGAGAAAAATTTAAAAAAATACCTGAAAAAGTCTAGAACAACACTTTTCTATACTCCCATACAAAAGATTCGTAATAATACTTAAAAGTCAATTTGAACTTTAATACCATAACATAAAGTTTAAGTGTTAGTGGAGAGGTTCCGGGACGGCAAAACATTGAAGGCAGTTGAGTGACATTAGAATAGTATAAATATTAATGTCAATATTTGTCAATATTAATAACAAAAAAAAATTACAAGGCTAACGCTGGCTAATAACTATTTATATATATTTAAAACGTACCTAGCGACAAACCCGAACGAAGCGAGCGTGAGCCGTTTGTAGTCAATAAAAATGAAACGTCAATAAAAATGATAAAATTTGTTGGAAGTTTTTAACAATTTACCCTATATGTACCAGTTGCTTGTAAGCAAAGCATTTTACTGTCGCTTTACATTTTCTGTGTTTTATTGTGATTCATTCATGAAGCAAACATTTTTTTTTATAAATTGTCTTCATTAATGTATTGCTTGTGCTACTTTCAAAAACAAATATTTATCAAAGTCCTGTTTAAAGTAACTTTTTTTACTATTTTGTATGAACTCAACAGAGATTAAAAGGGACTTGAATTTCAAAGGTGGAAAAGATTCATTTCACAATTCTTCTTATTAATTTTTATTTGTTAAAACATTTTATGCATCAAAGAGATTGACCTTAACAAATTTTGAATGATATCGCAGACGATGGCAGTGACCGTATACGAAGTCTACGTGATCCAACTAAGAAAATGTCAAAATCAGATACAGATCCTAAGTCACGAATATTATTGAGTGACTCAGATGAGACTATAAGATTAAAAATTAGAAAAGCTGTTACAGACTTCACTCCACAGGTGGGTGTTTATATATATCTATCTATCTAATATATTTAAACGAGCAATTCTTGTATATATATTATATAATCTGAATCTCGGAGACGGCTCCAACGATTTTCATGAAATTTAGTACACGGGGGTTTCGGGGGCGATAAATCGATTTAGATTAGTCTTATATCTGGGAAAACGCGAGTTTTAGAATTTTCATGCGGTTTCCTTTTGCATTGTTCCACGCAAAATATTATGTTCGAAAATTTCGCACGCTCAGATATAAGCATCACGGTCAAGCGGCCAAGGCGCAAGATTGAATAAGTGTCTGGGTTCGAATCCTGGTCGGATACAAAGGTATTTTTTTTTTGTATTTATTCAAGTTTTTTTTTAATGAAAATTGTACTCTTGACCAAAAACTCCGAGCGAAGCTCGGTGGCCCAGGTACAATATATATATATATATATATATATATATATATATATATATATATATATATTTTAACATTACATTTTAAATATTAAAAACAATTCGTTCGCCGCAGTTCATCGCATTCAGATAAAAAGAACAGATAACAGAGGGGTTATGACAATCTATACATATAATATAACCGTAGAGGTCGAATGTCTGTACATAAAAAAAATGCTAAAAACCGAGACAGGGGATGTAAGAAGAAAAATAGAACAAGTCCAGATTTTTTTCAATTTTTTTGTTTCTCTGTCTGATTATATGTTTGTAGTTGTACGGGCTAATCTCCGAATCTATTGGACCGATTTAGATGAAATTTTGCATGTTATATCCCCGGGCAACATCTTAGATACATTTCACCCCGGAAAATTAAAGAGTTCCCGTGGGATAGTTAAAAAACTGTAATATTTTATACAGTTTAGTACACAAAAACTACTGATTGGGTTTTGACGAAACTTTACAATTATATCCATACTAATATTATAAATGTGAAAGTGTGTTTGTTTGTTTGTCTTTCTTTCACGTCGAAAGGTCTTGGCGGATTGGCGTATTTACATACGTACATAGGCTACTTTTTACCGTAGGAAATTATCTCTTTCCCACGGGAAAAGACGTTATTATACAACCCAAAAAAATATTTATGATCAGTATTACTTGAAACTTAGTATTATTGCTCTTTAATAAAATTAAATAAATACGTGTTTTAGCATTTTTCGAAGTTCATCCTATAAGGAGGTAAAATAGGGTATGTTTGTATGAAACTACCTTTATAGAGATTTTTTGTGGTTTTGGCGCGAGCGAAGCTGCGGATTCTGCTAGTTAATTATAATCATGTGGTTTGTGGTTCTGCGTGAGTTTATTTTATAATTTTTAGGTCTGCAATTTTATCATCAAATGTGCATGCGCACTAAAAAATATATTTTTCTATATCTACTCCATAGGTTTAGGTAGTTAACTAAAGGTAAACAAAGAGCTCATGGGGATTTAACCTTTTATTACAAAAAATTTTACACATATTGTCAACTAGCGAATTACGCTCGCTTCGTTCGGGTGAGTCCCTCAGTACGCGGATTTTGTTCACAATTTCATGGGTTTAAATTTTTTGCGCGGAACCTGATTTTTTTTCTAAAATAAAAGTAGCCTCCTTGTAACATCAGCTATTTTCCAGTGAAAGTTCTATCAAAATCAGTCCAACCGTCTCGGAGATTAGCCGGAACAAACACACACAAAAATTTTAAAAATTTAATCCATTTATGCATTTTTATGTGCATTTAGTAAAAAACTGTTATTTTGACATTACAAACAGACATTTCAATTTTATTTACCTGTAGGTAAAATTGATAAAATAAAATATAGATAAAATAACTGCGTTTTGTATCATTTATTTATTGAATTCACCCACAATCAACTACAATCAAAACATCACTAAAATTGACGTAGACTTGTACAAATTTATATATAACATAATATTTAAATTGATGATGTATGTTACGGACAACGAGTCTACGCGATGGCAGAATCTAGCAATTAATCACTCAATCAATTAAATCACGTCCCTTTATTGTACAATACAATAAGAATTTAGACTCACAGGCGCGTATCTAAAAGATGTTAGACGCACAGTAGCTTATTTAATAAGATTGTAAATTGGAAATTAAAAAACGAGGCCTTGCTCATTGTGTACCATTCATCAGATAGGCAAAGAAGAAACAACTAGCAAGAAAAGCTCAGAAAGAATTAACCATCGGGAGTTTTATTTTGAAACCCTTAAATACAGTCCACCATATTTAAATTTAAAATTTTCATATTATATATCGTGTTAAAACAAGTGAATAAGTTTGGATTATATGCTGTTACTGATATTATATAATATAGATGTTTGCTTTTTTACCTGACTGCGGCGAAACAGGGTTATGTGTTTAATCTGTATATGTCTGATTCTACGTTTCTTCGTAATCAAAATACAGCTTATTAAGAGGCGATTACAGAAATATTTACAACTTATATGTTCAAAGTAATTTAGGATAAGAACTCGTTAAATAAAACTAAAAATTTGTAACTCTCCTAAAAAGTTGTAAATAAAAAATATTTACAAAAATAAAATATTCAACTACATAAAAGCGAACTAAAAAGAAGAGAACAAGTTGACAAAGGAATATAGTATTATGCAGTTAGAGACATACACATACTATGTACATACATGTTTTAGAATAGCTGCGTGTGTGTATGTCTCCGACTACAAAATAATAATAGCATTATGTTCCTTCGTCAACTTGTTCTCTTGCTGTTTATGTACTAGTTTTTGTTGTTTTTTTTTCTGGGGTAAAACTGTACTTATCCACATCTTAAATTTATTTGTGTCTATTAAAATATAAAAAAATAGCTCGTCGGCTTCATCAAATCAATTTATGGAACTAAGTAATTTAAGATTTCTATCCATAATAAAAAAGCATTAATGTTCAGCGAAATTATCAACGATTTTTCACTGAAAAAATCTCGCAAGGTTCCATTCATTAGCGCTGTAATTTAATTTCGGATAATTCTTCCATTCGACTATATTTACATATGTTTATTAAAAATAATTTCATTTGTTTCGCAATAAATACTTACAACACTTGACTAAAAAATTGATCATTTTATTCGAAAAATAATTAGGGGCCTCCACTCTTTTGTTGCCCCCGGGCCTCCACAACCCTAAATCCGGCCCTGTTTATCAAACTTTGATATTTTTTATTTCCGAAATTATGTTTCCTCCACTTGAAACTTTGTGGGATTACTCAAGATAATAAATACTTTGCACAAAAAAAATCAAGAGTCTACTGGTGAAACGGTATACTAAAGCTGAGCCATTGCGTGTATCGAGCTTTATGACCCTGCGCCGAGTCTTACTGAAAGAACCATTCTTGGTTATTGAACATGGTGTTGTTAAGGGGCGTAGCTACCATTCTCAAGAATGGTATCTTGATACACTTGTGCCGATGTTTTGATACCTTTTTCACAAAAATATGGCTCAGTCACTCCTTCATAGCTAACACCCCCACCAATCCATCACTGACGTCGTATAATGCCCAAGTTGTACTCTGTTGAGTGTTGACTAATTGAGAAGCTTCCTTAGAGCTTTGAGCATAAAAACGGTCATTATTTTGTTTGTTCAAACATTGCTCACTTGTAAAAAAATCTCATCCGTATACAAAAATTTTCTGTGACGTCTATTTGCGTAGGTAGGTAGTTGTTTTGGTTTTACCACCCTATTCTCTTTTAAATTATCAGTTAAGAAATGACCAGTACGTCTATTATAGGCTGCAAGACCTTTTTTTTTTAACTTTGGGAAATGCATTTACGCACGAGGTGTGGGACTCACCGGCAAAGCCAGTACTACCCACTAAAACCCAACAAAACCTTCTCCCGTCTTAATTGGGCGTCGCAGGATCGCTTGCGCATTCAACTACGACGCCCCGACGGCAGGTCTGCCGTAGCAGACCACAACAACCATGGGGTTGCTCCAAGGTCCACTCTGCTATCAGAGAAGTACCAGGAGCAACCCGCATGGTACACCGCCCCCCGAAGAGGGCACCTGACACCGCTCACCGAAGTGGGCCACCTCCCTGTGCGTTTCTTGGCTTCGCGCCCGGCTGAAATGCCGGGCACTACGTAGCTCCCTCACCACGACAAGGTGAACGCACGTTGGGAGGGAAAGGCTGCAAGTCCTAAGTCATCTTTTAAAATACGCGTTGTTGTAAAATGGTTCTAGGTGCTATCTTCATCTCCCGAGATAAAATCTTTTGCTTTCGGAGAGGATTTCTTCGAATTCTATCCCTTACTGCTTTGATCACCTTTTTCGTACGAACACTAGGTGGACGGCCAGATCTTTTTCTGTCACAAACAGAGGAGGTTTCATTGTACCTATCAATAGCCCGGTACACAAACATTTAACTAATACCAAGCGTATGGAGAGTCTTAAAAATTGTATTTGGCTCCATACCTACTTTGTGTAATGCAATCACAGGGATTCAGTTCTCTTTATCACCGCACCCCATTTTAATATCACAAAATATTTTACAATGTATTGGCGCGAAAATGAGAAAACACAATGAACAATCATATATATAAAAATGACGGATTCTAAATTCAAATGTAATATTTTGTTTATTTTTAATGGTAACAGTATTTATGGCCAGACTATGTATATATAATATTTGTTCTACTTTTTATGAAAATAAATCTACTACTAACGTTATTTTACTTTAAGGTGACGTTCGATCCCGAAACGCGGCCGGGCGTCTCTAATCTCGTAACTCTACACTGCCTCGCGGCGGACTTGCTGCCCGAGGAGGCGGTGGAGGAGGCCGAGGGGCTGAGCACGGCGCAGTACAAGGGCGTGGTGGCGGAGGCGCTGTGCGCGGCGCTAGGCCCGCTGCGCGAGCGCGCCCACGGTCTGCGCGCGCGCCCCGCGCTGCTGCGCGATGTGCTGCGCCACGGCGCCGCCGCCGCACGAGCGCGCGCCGATGCCGTCTACGCCGACGTGGCCGCGCGCCTCGGCCTCGCGCTGCCCGCCCGCCCCGCGCCCGCGCCCCGCGCCCACGCGCTGTGCGTCGCGACGGCACAGCCGCGCCGGTGAACTATCAATGACTTATGGGAATTGAACAACATAGGAGCTAGTCTACATGGATATGTAAATAAAACAATATTTATAATAGTGATTATTCGATATAATGTTTACATGGCGGCAGCGCATTCAGAGTCGGTGATGATGGTGCTGCATGGCAAGCGCGTGGTCGGGCGCGGCCGCGGGGTGCGGCGCGGCGTGCGGCGCGGGGGGTGGCGCGGCGGGCGCGGTGCGGTCGCGCAGCAGCACCACCAGGTCGCGCAGCAGCTCTACGGCCTGCGCTACGGCCTCTGCCTGCTTCTCGGCGGCGAGCGCGCTGCGCATGGCGGCCTCGGCCAGCAGCTCCTCGGTGGCGAGGCGCGGCGCGTCGCCGGCGCCGGCGCCGGACCCCTCCGAGTACATGTCGTCGTCCAGCAGCGCCGGCTTGCGCTCCTCGTCCGAGTGGCTGCCGCCGCGGGTGCACCCCCCAGTATTTGCTGTTATCATTATTATCAATGAAATAAATTTAGAATAAAATGTTTATCATCATTTATTTATACTACATCTTTGATGATCAACAGATACCGTGGCCAGATTGTAATTTTTTCCTGAGCAGTTCACTATAACGATGTTTTATGTTATCATAGTCACATAGTCATTAACGCTTAAAGAAGCAAGAAAGTAACAGGGAAGTGAAAACTAGACCAGATTAATTTAATTGTATTGTCTTATAATAATTTTGAATAAAGTGGAATAGGGTCTTGGACTATTTTATGAAAAGTATCTCAGCCTATTGTTAACATAAATAAAATGCTGCATCAGCAATATAAGGCTGAGTTTCCAGGTTGTAGTTATGTATGTTATGTCTATATATGTCTGTATGTCTTTTTCACAGACACCAAGACAAACATTTTTTTTTAATAAGTATTATAGTTAAATATAGCAATATTATTTATTTAATTTTAGTTGTTATTATTATGGTTATTACGATTTTAAAAAACTTTATTATTTAATAATATTATTTAGTGTTGTTATTATTATATTATGTATAGCCATAAAGAAAATTAAAAATATTAATTATTTATTTAAGCAATATTATTGCTTTATGTGTTTTAAAAAAGAACTTAAACTATTAATTTAGATTGCTATTATTTACAGTTAAAATATTAAGCAACACTATTGCAACCTTTATCCACACAGTATGAACCAACTACATTTATTGGTCTGTTATGTTTGTTTTTGTTGTTAGATTTTACTATGTTTACAAGTATTATATGATCCCACGATGATGGTAGTACCCAGCCATCTTTCCTATTGAAGTTTGGATATTTTTTTAATTTCAATAGCTTTGCGAATCATCCTTCGGGAAATGCATTTCCCAAAAATTAATCAGTAATAAAAAAGGATCGCACAAGCCACTACATTCACTTTGATAGTTCATAAATATTCGCGAAAGAGAAACGTTATCGCCCCAGGAATTTTAATTGATTTCTTAGAAAATTACCTGGAGGTGTTATTCATTACTTAAAAATATATTTAAAAAAATAAGTTGATATTTATAAAATTTAGTCATAGATTTTTTTGAAAACTGTTTTTTTTTTCGTTTTTTCCTGAAAAATACATTGGTGTAATGGGTTTATAAGGATTTGGTCAATAAAGTGCACTTCTTCAATGATATTGAAAAAAATGTAGTTTACAAAGTAAAAATTATCGATATCTCCAATTTTTTAAATGTTTAAAGGTGTTTTTACAAGATGATCATACAATGTTTTTATATGTTTAGAAAGTAAAGTTCAAGACGAAAAGAAAAAGCCTTATCTGAAAATTGAACGAAATTTTTTTGTAAATGTAAACAAACACCTCTTGAAGTTGAACTTTTCTTGGAAATGCCTCAACATTTCGATTTCATTTTTTTTTTATTTATTATATGTATTTCGAAGATTACATTCCCTTAGTTTTATAGAAATCAAAAGATTATTCTAGAAATTAGAAATAAAAAAACCAAGAAACAGTTAAAAACAGAGTTTTTTGCAGATATCTCGAAAACTTTGAGGTTATTGTAAAGTGTTATCTATGAAAGTTGTATATTTATTTTTATTATGTTGTTGTTGTATTTGCGTCCCCCCATTTCTAGGGAATAGCTGGGCATGTGGGGCATTTTACAAATTTCTATTCCTTATATTAGGTATATAAGACCAACATTTAAAATTTTCAGGTTTTCAATATATTTTTTTTTATTAAAAAAAACCTTTTTCTGATTTGTCTATTAGCCTACACTGTTCTGAAAACTACAAAGTAGGTGTTAATTTAGTATATTTCTATCAAAGTGTATACTTACATTCAGTTGTTTTGGTATTGAACAAATTCTGTATTCTCTCCTCGAAACTAGAGAGATCACCAAGAGCTCCTCCAGCAGCTGCCTTTTTACGTGCTTTATATTTTAAATCTGCCCACAACTGTAAAAATAACATAACACAATTAAGTAACAGTTATTTTTATTTAAGTAAATTATTATTAAAACTGTCATTGTTTACCCGACTCCATTTGTCAGGTGATTTTCGCGCACCCCCTGAATCGTCGGCAGCAGCGTTGAGTCGTTCAGCTAAGAGCCGCCACAATTTGCACGCACTGAATCTCGAATATATGGATTGTTTACCAGCTGCAAAGTCACGGTGTTCTTCCATAAACGACAGTAAAAGATTTAGTTGTTCTGAGCTCACTCGGCATCTAGTTAAAACGCCGCTCATCTCTTCATATCATTCATACCTCGATAAACTCCAAGCAATTATCAATTACTTTTATGATCGTGAACTTTAATTGTTACAAAATTAATGTTTATTTAAATTTAAAATCATCTTTTGTAATTCGGCATAATGTCTTTTAAACAAACACATGAATAAATTTGAAATAATTTACAACATTCATAATTATTTTATTTTGTGGTCCAATTTACAGTTTCCACTTTCAGCTTCTGTAATCTGTCACAAAGAGAATGTAAGTTGTAAACTTGTAACCCTCCGTTGAGTTTTTTTTAATCTAACACATATGTAATCAATTTATACGGTACTTCAATACCAACTGTACGTCAGAGACGTCAAAAACAACAAGAGCCCCAACCTACAAAACTTAACAGACCAACTAGTGCTTTACGCGTTTTTATCGATATCGATAATATTCAGGTTAAAAAATCAAGTTCGTAGATACTAAGCAAATACGAGTATAATAAAGTGAAGATCGAGTCTACACTTAACACCTCCAGGTAAATTTCTAAGAAATTAATTAAAATTCTAAAAAATTATTCTTAACTGAGACGCCGACGTTTCAGTTAACAATAGATTTCTTAGAATTTTAATTAATTTCTCAGAAATTTACCTGGAGGTGTTAAACATATTTTTTCGTCAAGCATTCGGCTGGCTCGATTTCCACAATTTTATATGTTATGCACCGCGTTTTCGGTGGCATTTTAATAAAACGTATTCACTGAACAAAACTCGATAATTTGTTGCAAGAAATTCTGTAATATATCTATTATCTTCTTGCAAATTTATGTAAATTATGAAAATATTCATTATTCACTTCTCAACCACAAGACATAAATAGTGAAGCACTATTTACCGATAATGGCGGACGGATTGGTAAAAGAAAGAGAAGCTACATGGAGGAAGTGCAATAGAAGATGTCCGCCATTATTTTTGCCACGCAAACTTGAACAGTTTTGTCAGATCAAAATATGTCATTTTGACAAGAGTTCTATCTTGCCCACAGATTATTACTACTTCTAATTGTTTTCATATCCAAACAATGTCGAATCAAAAGAGTGTAAAATATTATACAGCCTTTACAATATGTACCTATTTATGCTTAGATATTGTAGTTTTAATGTTTTAACATATCACGTATCGTGTTATAACAATTATATTATTTGAGTAACATTTTTACAGATAGAGTAAATTTTTCTTATTTAGTTACAGTAAAGATAAAATATTTATTATTTGGTGATTAGTTACCATAGCAACATAAGGTGTTAAGATTTTTTCAATTGGTTATTTGCCTCAGACCTCAGTTACATATTTTGTTTATCAAATGTGGTTACATAAAGTAAATATTATAATTGTAAAAATATGGTAGAAAATTATTAATGACTATACTTGTCTATGTACTCACAGGTATACTGTATTATAATGCTAGGTTGTGTTCTCTAAATTTCCCCTTTTCCTTTCTATAAATTTATATAGTTTGTAGAAATAAGATAGTTTGTGGAGGGAGTTTATTGCACGTATTCATAAACAAAGAATTTAATGATTATAAAATATACAATTTAGATTTCTAACTTTGCAGGTAATCTATAGCTAAGTATCAAATGAAATGAATCGCTATGTCGTATTGCAACAATTGGGCGATGGTACATATGGCTCAGTCGCTCTGGCGCAGCGAAGGGACACCGGGGAGAAAGTCGCTATAAAGCGAATGAAAAGAAAATATTATTCTTGGGATGAGGCCATGAATCTGCGTGAAGTCAAATCACTTAAAAAACTTAATCATGCAAACATTGTTAAGTTACGTGAAGTTATCCGTGAAAATGACACATTATATTTTGTATTTGAGTACATGCGAGGGAATCTTTATCAATTAATCCGCGATGCAGAACGGCCATTTCCAGAGCCAGTTCTTCGCAATATTTTATATCAAGTGCTCCAAGGCCTCGCACATATGCATCGTCATGGTTTCTTTCATCGTGATTTGAAGCCTGAGAATTTATTATGTGCAGGTCCAGAATTGGTAAAGATAGCAGATTTAGGACTAGCTCGTGAAGTGCGATCGAGGCCGCCATACACTGATTATGTATCTACAAGGTGGTATCGAGCTCCAGAAGTCCTTCTGCATGACACTCATTATGGTGCTCCCATCGACCTTTGGGCACTTGGATGTATAATGGCAGAATTGTACACTTGTCGTCCGCTATTTCCTGGTAATTCAGAGATAGATCAGTTGTACAAAATAAGCGCAGTGTTAGGAACTCCATCACGTGACGAATGGCCCGACGGTTACGCATTAGCAGATGTGTTGCGGTTTCGTTTCCCAACGAGTGCAGGTGTTCCGCTAGCGCGAGTCGTACCCACGGCGTCGGCGTCCGCTCTTGCTCTTTTTTCTGCACTTCTGCGTTATCCGCCTCGAGAGCGTCCAACTGCGCCGCAGGCTCTCAGGTATTGGCGTATATTTTGTATAGGTATATTACTACTTTTATATTGAATTATATCATATGATCGTTTTTTTAGGTATCCATACTTTGCTGTTGGTGCAGCATTAGTTCTGCCGCCTCCGGCAACAAGGCCGAGACGGTGGGTAAATTTAAAAAGAAATCATCTCGGTATTATTTTTGAAGTTTTTTTTTTTCAGTGAATGAATATTAATCAATATTAATTATAAAGGAGCGGAGTTCGCGCAGAGGTTGAAAACGCTCCACCTCCAGCGATTGCACCTACAATTGTGCAGCCTCTGCCAGCTGCCGGGGCAGGCTCTCCGAAACGAGATCGTTTTGCGGACATATTAGGGTACGATTAAAAACCATTACGAGTAGGTAGTAGTACTAAATAATAATATATAATTATGGAGAAGAAAAAAATAATAAGTAAAACTAGTCCAATTACTGGTACTGCGAAGTAAAACAACCCAGGTGGCAATTATAATTGCTTGTTTTACTTCGCAGTACCTGGTGTTTTTGGTCAAAAGTATAATTTTCTTAAAAAAAAACTAATAACTTGAATAAATACAAAAGAAAAAACAAAAATAAATGATACCTTTGTATTCGACCGGGATTTGAACCCGGAAATCTATGATTGTCAATCTTGCGCCTTGACCGCTTGACCATGATGCTTATTCCCGAAACCCCCTGTTAACTACTAAATTTCATGAAAATCGTTGGAGCCGTTTCCGAGATTCAGATTATGTTTATATATATACACACAAGAATTGCTCGTGTAAAGATATGATTTACACACAATAAACACTAAGTAGGAATAGAAATATGATACGTTTTCAGATTTCGACTCCAAAGTTTAATAAATCCTACATGGTGATGGGCCTGAGTATACGCATACATACTATGATTCCACATACTGTCTAGATTTACCTTTTCAACAATTTAAAGATAAAATTACTCTGTTTAAAAGTTTCTTGTTAATGAAAATGTGTGAAATTAATATATATTTAGGTACTCATAATATTATGTTTATTAAAGTAACTTCAATATTTAAAAGAGAAACAGTTGAGTTTCTCATCAGCTCTTTTCAGCAGAACTACTTTCCGGTGGTAGCTTCCTCACGGACTGACTACACTGACGCTTTTTAAATTGACGATTCAAAAGTGATTATAATAAGTATATATAAATGAAGTTTCATTTCATTTTTTCTCAATTTTTAACAGACTACAATAGATAAGGAGATTCTCAATTCGTCGGAATCTTTTTTTATGCATGTTCCACAATTATTCGATGATGCCTGGACCGATTTGGAAAAATATTTTTTTGTTTGAAAGGGTATAGGTACTTCCCAGGTGGTCCTATGGTCATCAGGTCAAGATCTGATGATGGTATCCTGGAGATATCGAGGGAACTTCTCAAATTTTATAGGCACACTTAAAGCGATTTGGGTTTTTTTTATAGTGCATATGCATTTATTTCATTTGCATTTCAAATACCTTCTTCTAACTTTCCTACTACTAAGTTTACACTAAATATGGAAAAATAAAAACTTCAAAAAATAATCGACTTCAAAATACTAAAAAGTAAAGAATAACTAAATGGGAGTTCTCCTTAACTATAGATACCTAATCAGATATTGTCGAAGTCAGTGTGCTTTAATTTGTATCGGCTGCCACCGACTTCGAAAATATCTGATTAGGTATCTACTATCTATAATTAATGAAAACTATTACCAAGTACCATATAAATAATATCACTGGACGTAAAGGGAGTACCGCCATGTTTTCCGTGCTTATTATAAGTTGCGCATCCTATAGTCATTCTGTGCTCAGCCCCTAAGTATGATGTTTCGTGCAGGGGCGAGGTGGTGCACTCGGCGCGGCGTACGCGCGCGGGCGGCGGGTGCGGCGCGCGCGGGCGCAGCGTGCTGGCGGCGCTGCAGGCCGCGCCCGAGCCGCGCCGCCCCGCAGCCGCCGCCGCCGCCGCCGCCTACCTCGGCGCCGCGCGCTACGTGGCCGGTGCGCGCATCGACACCACGCTGTTCCATCCGCTTACGTTACATGCTCACCAAGGTTATCCCTCTATGTGTATGACGATGTCCTGACGGCTGACCCACTTCAGCCTCGGCGGCCAAAATCACTGAAACTAGCCATAGCAATGGTTATAATGCGTTGTACGCGCACACCCAAATGCACTCTCTATTCTGGTCACTTACGAGAGTGACATTACAATTCAGCAGGGAGACTCAGGACGACGGCTTTACGTGCTCTATGTATACTGCATGTACATTATACATACTAACAGAGTAGAGACTTTTATGTTATTGCTCATGCAGTAATTGTGATATGGAATTGTTTCAGAAACGACGACGGTGGGAAGTGGAGTTGCCAGGGTGGACTGGGCGGCCAAGTACCTTCGTTAGTTTTACAAAAATAAAAATATTATAATTTTTTGTCTTACTGTAAGCAATTCGGTTGGGTCATTACTCACTAGGATATTGAAATGTAACTGCATAATAAAAGCCAATAAAAATGTTTATACTAAAATAGTTACAACACACAAGTTTCATTTATATATCATATCAAGAAGAATTATATTATGAACTTTTGTGTATTATTTCTTGTTTTTATTTTCTTTTGAGATTCTTTACTTAAGAAAGGGGCATGCAACTCAAACATGTGCACATATTTGCATAGACAACTCAGGGGAGATCAAGATTTCAGGATATTCTAGTTACCTTTTTATTAAATTAAAAGTTTTAAAAACCTGTATAAGCATACATATTTGAAGAGAATGTATATAATATTAGCAGAAAAAAATAGGAATATCGCAACAATTACAACTAGTATGTTTACATGAAGAACACAATTTTCCTAGGCACTTTGAATGTTACATATAAAAATAATACTATACTTTGTATGTCAAACTAAAAATATGATTTGCCTTATTTATTAAAAAGAAATTCTTAATTTTGTTTCTGCCCTTAAACACTTGTTTGAGACAACATTACTATATTGCTTTCTGTTCTATTTGATAGCAAAAGTTCTTAAGACAGAACCTAAATGTTACTGCTGACTCACCTACCACTACCTGTAAAACAAATTTATAGATATAAAAACTACATTCACTTAATAAATTTATACAATGTCACAGAAAAGCGATCATCATTAATAATATACTATTACATTCAATTTATGTCATTTTGAATATGTATATAAGGTATAAAACTTATGTTTATCATGCTTAATATTTGATATTAAGTAGTATACACAGAAGTATTTATTACAGGCATTATATAAAATGATTTAAGATATAGGTATCTATATTTAGCACAACTTAGGATGCTAATCTTCTTATTATGGCTCTAACAAATTTTTTTTTTCATTTAACATTATATATATATATATATATATATATATATATATATATATATATATATATATATAGATTAATTAACACATTTTTAATTTTAAATGTATTATTGTTTAATTAATACATATTTTTGTGATTCTTAACATGCATTATTTTAAAAAAAGGCATAAATTAATAAAAGGCTATTAAACAACTTTATCACTCTATATTATATTATTATGTACACATTTATTTTTTATAAAATCTGTTAGTTATCAACAAGGAGGGCAATGAAGATATTACTCATATTTGAGGTAGGGTTTGGCATCAGGTGGTGCTGTGGAGTGTGAGTGTGCAGAATGAGCGGAGTGAGCCGAGTGTTGCCATGCATCTGGTGGCCAACTGTACACACGTGGAGCACCACTCTCTAGCAGGCCCCAACCTAACAATTGTGACCGCGCACCACGCTCACGTTTAGGAGAAGCTGTTGAGATGTTCACTGACACACCCTTGATTATGTGATCTTGACCGCAAAGGGACTGTGCCACTTCAGGATCCAAAAACGTAACAAAGCTGAATGCCCGAAATGGTTTTGGTACAAACACATCTGTCACCTGACCAAATTCTCCAAAATATTCGCGAAGATCATCTGCTGTGAGGCTCTCAGTGCATCGGCCAACAAATACCTTACGGTGCGCTGCAGATCCACCATCTTTACTGTTAGGAATGCGTACATCACACCAGCGCCCATCTATCATATGTCTTCGACCTAATGCGCGTAATTGTGCGTCGTAGTCTGCAAACTTAATAAAGCCAAATCCTTTTGATAAGCCTGTTTTTACGTCACGTTTCACTTGTACCATGAGTAGTTCACCGAATGCAGAAAAATAATCACGAACAGCGTCTTCGCTAGTCTTCCAAGGAAGGCCAAGAACTATAAGGTCTGAACAGCGTGGCCGAGGAGTTGGTAGCGGAGCATTAGCACGTGGGAAAGCGCAAAAGTAACGGTGTGCCGCCCAACCTTCAGCGGGTGGCAGAACGCGGTCGTCGGCTAAACGCAGACCACGTAGCCGTCCACCGGCTCGATATTTTAAGCCACTAGCTCCTGCGAATTGTGCCGATATCGTGCTAAGGAGTAGCGAGCCGTCTTCTTCTGTAGGCAGCTCAATGGGCTCGTCTTGTTCGCCCTCGCTTACTACCACGTACTCTATCGACATTGCGCTCACCAGACGACGCCGATTGCCGTACACATCATCTTCGTTTACATTATCAATCTTAGAAGGACAAAAGTCGTCCTCAAATTGTTTTTCTGTATGTGATTTAATCTAAAATTAAATTATATTGTATGTCTTTACTTGTATAGGTAGTATTTGCATGACGTTTGACGTATGACGAGAACATGACGTTTCGTGTAGCGTTTCATTTTACGAGATAGATAAAATCATATGATTTACTTTATAAGGAAATAAAAACCGTTTAGAAAAAAAACTTTTTTTGGGTATTTTGCTTATAGTTGGCGCTGGCGGGATAAACCAGGTATTTTGAGGTTTATTGGTCGGGTAAATCAACGAATGTAATCTAGCAGCCCTGCTCACCGAGTAAAGCGTTTATTTCTTTTCGTATATTGGTAGCAGTTAGCACGTAGCTAGTTATGGTTACATCTCGTCCATCCGCTTTAGATTAAGATTTACATAGAATAAGAGAGACGCAAACTCAGCGTCTGGTCGGCCCACCCGGCATCCGCCGGCCGAGTATGTATTCAGAGTTCAGAAAATAAAGGAGCCTCAAATCGGCTACATGTCTCACGTTTAGTTTTTTTTTTCGTAATTTAATTTTAGAAGGAAAATGTCTCATTTCTGAGAAAAAATACAAAAATTGCAATGTAAGAGTATACTACTATGTAAATTTTGATATTTTTTCGAAAGGCGATAATTTGTTTTAAATTCAGTCTCTGGAACACGTAAAAACGGATTATCTGAAATGCGAGCTTCTGCACGAACGTTGGCTAGATTATTATGCTCATCTTGAGCCGTTACCGTCGAGAACATCCTCCAAGCGAAAAAATTACGAGCTGCCATTTTTTTTCAACAATTAAAACAACACAACACAGACAATATAATTATGAACTTTGTAAAAAGATGTTCGTATTTTAATGACCGTTTTCACACTCACTACCAAAATCTAGGTGACAAAGTTAACTTGCTCGCAAGTCAAGGCTTGAAATACAGTTAAAAAAATGGTATCGTCAAAGTTGCTACAGGCAGATATTGTTAAAAAATAAATAACGTTATAGAATTTTGAAAACGTTGCCAAAACTCATCGAGGTTATGAGTGCGCATACGTATTTATTGACTTGCGCTTAATTTTCAAATAACTATAAATATATATCCATATAATATATATAATTATAAATGTGGAATAATAAATAAATGATATTTATTTATTTACAATATATTTATTTATTTTAAGTTGGGACATTAACACACAGCACCATCTAGTTCCATTGGTAAGCTACGAGGCTTGTGTTATGGATACCAGTAATTGATACTTTACATAAACTATAAAGCAATATACATAAATTATAAAGCGTGTTTGTTTGCTTGTTTGTTTGTTTGTTTGTTTGTTTGTTTGTTTGTTTGTTTGTTTGTTTGTTTGTCTGTCCTTCTTTCACGTCAAAACAGAGTGACGGATTGGCGTGATTTTTTGTGTGGAGATAGTTGGAGGGCTGGAGAGGGATATACGCTACTTATTACCACAGGAGATTATCTCATTCCCACGGGAAAACACCTTATAATACAATCAAAAAAATGATTTAAGATCAGAGTTAAAACTTCATCACTCCCAAAAATCATCCTATACTAGAGATGGGCCGAATGTGGTTTGAACCGAATACGAACTTCAGCCAAACATTCTGTGAGAATAAAAAAATCGGCTGAACTTCGGTTCAATTTCGCCGTGCTTTCTCAAGTCACTACATGTCGTGTCACTACACATCATGACACTTTAATAATTAAAAATACTTAATGTTTCTGAGTGTTCGGCTTATGAACCAAAAACGTGTATTTTTTTTTCAATTTACGAATTGTAATTTAGATGTTTGTTAGAAGAATATTGAGTGTATTTCATTTTGTTCATTTAATTAGGTAAAGATTTTTGAGACTTTTAAATTAAGAAGAACTAATTTAATATTTTTATCGCAAACATGTTAAGAGTTTATGCTCCTAGCTAAAATAAATGATCGGAAAGGAAAGATCGGAATCCATTTATTTTTGATACAAAACATAATAATAAATTAAACATGAATTTTAAAGTCTTTAAAACGATAATAGGTATATATGTAACAAAAATCCGTTAAATGCCCCCGATATCCAGCAACCCCGTAAATAGGGGAATTAAAAACGTTGAAAAATAGATTTTTTCATTTTCTGGTTTACTTGGATGTCCTGTTGACAAATATTCTCTTTAAAACGTTATAGATTTAGTAAAAATCTACAACTTTTAGAAATGATATTTTTTACAATAACCTCAAAGTTTTCGAGATATTTGCAAAAAAACTCGTTTTTCAATTTATTCTTGGTTTTTTATTTTTAATTACTGCAATAAATTTTATTGTTCATAAGTCTAAGGGAATGTAATCTTCGAAATACTTATAGTTATCATTTTTTTTAATTGTAATACATATTTAGCCGTTTTCTAGAAATTTATATTTTATGGTTTCGGAAGGTTAAAAATCACTCCCAAATTCAAGTGGATGTTTACATTTAAAAAAAATTCGTTCAATTTTCAGGTATGCTTTATCTTTTTCGTCTTGAACTCTACTTTTCGAGACACAAAAATATTGTCGCTCCAAAATCGATCAAAAATTAATAAAAGATGGATATATTCTAAAAAAACTAAACAGATTCTACGGAAAAAAATACAAAAGTTTTAGATTCTTACTACAACTTTTTTCAAGAACATTTTTCGATATGACGTCACAGTAAGCTAAAAATTGAAAAGAGCTACTTTTCAACGCTTTTTATCCCCCCTATTTTCGGGGATAGCTGGATATCGGGGGCATTTTACGGGTTTTTTGTTCCTAACGTTAACGTGCTAACGTTTTGAAGATATACAATTTCAGGTTTTATTTTTTTTGTTCCCAAGCCGGGTTCGGATCGGACTAAGTAATATATATAAGACTTAATTTTATTTTATTGTTATGACAGACATGCTTTCTAATTATTTCAATCAAAATAGTGAAGTAGATTTTTTTTCTATTGCCGAATGTTCTGTATTCTAACCGAATTTCGGCCGAATGCCGAAGTTCGGCTCAAGCTGCCGAAATTCGGTTGAACCGAATGTAAAACGAATTTTGGCCCATCCCTAATATACACATAACACTTTTGTAGGTTTACGCGAAGATTCGGGGGGCACGGCAGTGCCCCCGCCAAGTCGAGCAAACAAGTCGAGCAAAAAAGGGCACGGCAGTACCATCCTTTTCTCGAAGGGATTCAGAGCATTTTCCACCCCCCCATAACTTCGTTATGGATAAAGCTAGAAGCTTGAATTTTGAGTGACTAAGAGAACATAATAAAACTAGGTACATTTCCAAATTACATTCAATTTGAACCAGTAGTTTATGAACTGTTGCAGATCAAAATTCGTTAATATCGTCACTCACACACTCACTCACTCACTCACCGATCATCAAAATTCTAAGGTACTTCTAGCAGACATAGAAGCTTCAAATTTTGAACACAATTCGTGTTTACTCTATAACCCAAGGAAAAATTCAAACATCACGCAATTTCAATCCTGTTTTCGAGATATACAACAAACTGCATCAGTAACTTTGTAATCCTATACAAATAGATATGCGATATATGGGATTACAAAGTTACTTGTGCAGTTCATACATATAATTGTCGTCACTTGCAATGTAAAAGTAGGTTAGGTTAGTGTTTAACCTGTATGTATGTTTGTATGTTCGATCCTATGTTCCCTCGTAATTACTAACCTAATCACGATTCGTCTATTTATTTATTAATGTTGATATTGCAACTATTGTATACATTAGAAAAATATTTAATATTTTCAGTAACTGTATACATTTTTATGCATATACAAATGGGTACATAAATACAACGTGAAGCGTGTATAGTGTATTACCAACTAATATTCGATTACCTGTTATTTATAATGAATTTATTAAAATATATACCTAATTACGACAAAACTTGACGATTACTTAATTTTTGACGACACGTTTGGCTCAGTTTGTAGTGGCCCGGCCCTACTTTCTGTGCCGGCGGTCGCGGGTTCGAGTCCCGCTTGGGGCATTCATTTGTGTGATGACTAAAGTTTGTACTCCAGTCATGGGTGTTTATATGTATGTATTTAAAGTTATATATGTGTAGTGTATTAACTATCTAGTATCCATAACACAAGCCTCGTAGCTTACCATGGAACTAGATGGTTCTGTGTGTTACTGTCCCAACATATTTTGAATCAAAGCTCGTATATTTTCTTTTATAAAGTATGATGTTGATTTGAATTAGAAAACTTGTTAACATTTCATTGCTCGTAACTGTACACATCTAATAGAACATAGAATATAGAGGTCATTAAATATCAATCTCTTCGAAAATTACTTTTAAAATGGCCAATGGAATCAGTAAATGAAGTGAGTTGGCAACCTCACTTTTCTATTAAACTGCATCAAAATTGACTGAACAAGCAATAATAATTAAGTATAACAACCTTCGGGATTTACCTACGATGCCGCAGATAGATACATAAATCTACACGTTTTATTAAACTTACGTAAGTTCAATATCAGTATCGGGGTAGGTATTTAGGGTCAACAATGAAATTAAAATATTCATTAAATTAACTATATGTATATTTATACTTAATGCATAAGATAGTAGTAATGAAGCCTAGGAATCCGCAATTTCCGAATACAATAGACTTAGATTTTTTATCATCCTGACTTGTCAAAATTTGTTATATCAAAGCCTCTGAAAAAAGCCCACAGTGACAGAGAGTGGGCTTTTAAGAAGTCCTTAGCTGACACACAAGAAATAGTACAAGAAAAGGGCAAAAGAAGAAATATTTACAAAAAGAAATGAGATCCCATCAAAAACATACTGTAAAAATATTGCAAGTCTCGCAACGCATCTCTCTACCGCAAAAAGCTATGAGATATAATGTAAAACCAAGTCGGTTAATTTATTCA